ATGTAGAACGAATAAATGATATGGAATAAATAAGTATACATAAGTCACATTGTTGAATTTCACTGAAATACATATATACTTTTTATTATCGAACAATAGAGTGCATTTATCAACGAATTAATTATTCCACAATGTTTCTGAAGTACTATTTTGTTTTTCGAAATGTAGATATACTTAAAAAAGTAATTCAGATCAATAGTATCTGTGAACTTATCAACAATTTTGTGATCCAATAATCTAAGCTAATTGATAATAAAAACCACTTTACTAAAAGAAACCGAGAGGATAGGTTAAAGAAATTTAATTGAATTTCGAACGTATATTAAGAAGCTAAAGATGATCGACACACTTGAGACACAAATGAACCGCGCCCCAAACTATCACGCGATTGGTTATTGTTATTCGAGCAAGGACCAATAGCATAAGCGAAGATCTATAACGAGTCGCGACGGCGAATCAGTGTGGTCACGTAAGCCCACCATACCGCATGGTGGATGGATGTTTCGTTTAACTTGATATTGTATGAAATGCTATAATCTTGTATTGTTGTTATTCTGCAAGGGACATAACGATTCTGTGCAGCATCCACCTTCAGCCTTGCACACGGTAATTACAACAATATGTAGCTATGTTACATAGTGGCAGCGCGTTGACTGATTTGAGCGTACAATTTGTTGTTTGCTGTTCGGCTCAATGGCCGAGTGCTAGTTGCACAGTAGTAATATATTCGTTTTAGAATCGTTTATAGAATAGTTCTTTCATTTCTTTTACAAGCAGTTGCATATCTGTTTTTACCAAAGTTTTCGCTATGAAAAATGTTTAATATTCGCATATACACAAATATTTTTACTCGCTTGTTTTTCTCCTTTCGTTCTTCGTCATTTCTCTTCTATAGTGTTTCACGCATACAAAGATACGCGGCGGTACCGACGAAAGCGACTCGAAGTATTCTACGGAAATTCGAAGTAAAATGTTTCTGGGAAGTGTTGAATTTTATTGTGCGAAAATTTTTTATGTTCAGTAGGACTCTCGAATTTCGCTGTGATATTAATGTCCGTAAAAAGAATCATATCTTATCAATTGTTGTTAGGCATGTAGTCTCACACATGGTGCCATTGCACCGCCGAATGGATCGTAACAGGAAAGCTATAAATACACACGCATCGCGGGGTAAACAAACTTGACCTCAGTGGAATTCTTATCGATGTACCTACATGTCGATGCAGTGTATACAGATATTTTGAGGTTATGTTGAGTATCAGAGTTCGTGATGTTCGTATGAAATCCCGAAAAATACAATCGTTTGATATAACTATTAATATCTCTTCGAGGAGACTAAATAAATAACGCCTTTGACATTAATTCAGGAAAAAGTTATTTTAGATGCATATATAAGATTATTATTTAATTATAATAGGTATTATTGTTTTCCGTTTTAATACGATATATACTTTGTTTTTAAATAAACGTGAATAAATGTAGTATCGCAGTATTTACAGAGATGTTTAATTAATATTGGATGTTAAATTCTACACTCTGCATACTTTCACTGTTCTAGAAAGCTGTTATGCTAATTTATGTTAAATATTAATTTTATGATACCAAGATTAAATGGTAGAATTTGGAGTGACTTAAAATATTGCATATAAGAATAAATCAGTTTTGAATAATTAAATTTTTTAAGC